GTCCATAGGTAACTTGAAATAATTTGTGATTTTCTCGTTTTTCATTGAATAGCGTTCAAAGTTGTTTTTTTACGTTGACTGGACTTCTTTGTATAGATAACGCGCGCGTTATCGATGGGAAAATACGGTAGTTTTCTGTTTTAAGCTTTAAACGCTGCCGTCTCCAAACCATAGAGAAAGATGTTTAGTATGTTAGTTCTGTATACCTGTCTCTTGTATTATTCCTTAATTTTAATAACTTTTGCTCACTTCAAATGCCAGTGCACTGAGTTTCGTATCTTCGCTTGTAGCTCGTGCGTTTGCTGTCAGTGTTCCCGGAAGATATAGGTGTTCTGGTACCCTTCTCACAGGTTATCTGAGAAGGGTCAAACACACTCTGGTGTGTACGGTTCTACCAATTTTCTTTAAGTTTATTTCTTTAAGTTAGTCGATTAATTCGGAGCAGAACACCTTTTCTTAAGATTGGCAACTGTGATATCGCAGCTTCGAAGTTGTCGGTCAGCGGTGTAGCATTATCTGCAAATGCAAGGGGGCACGCAGATGTTGTCCACTTGTCGTAGTCGCAGATTCACTGCTTTGCACTGACTAAAGCACCCAATCATGAAATATCGCACATAGCAGTAGTGGTTCTACTCTGCCTCTTCTGACTCCAAACTTTGTGCAAAAAGATTTGGTTAATCTGCGACCAGTTAGTTCTTTGCTTGACGAAAGAACATCATCATCGTTCTTTGCCGATCCACTGTTGGATAAAGGCTTCTCCAGGACTTTTTTTTGCCATTTTCACCCATCTTAATCCAATAATCCATGAAACATCATACTTCTGTTTAATTGTGCGAATAATCTTTGGTGACATTCCGTATTGTTAAGTAACTTTTCTCAACATATCTTTAGAGTAAGTGAAACGATTAGGTGAAATCGACGAAGATTGCAAGGAACTGGGATCTCCATTCTCTCTTCGTTTCCATTTGCTGTGAAATTATGAACATCTGGTTCCACTATCCCCTACCTGTTTTGAATCCAAGCTGTTTTCACCCAGGGTCTTTTCAAAATGACTTGTGCTGTTCACCTTACTCTTACACACATGAGCACTTTAGCAAGAACGAAGAGTTGGTTTACTCTATTGTTATGTAGATACGTGCAACAGCATTTCTTAAATATTTGAACCAGACTGTCTTTCGTTCACTCATTCGTTATCTTCTCTTTCTGTCACCTCATTTCCAAGAGATTCACTAAAGGCATGACTTCCATCATATTCCTTGATTAGCTTCGGTTGCCGTACAATAAACGTCTATTTTGAACAAACCCCGCCGACCTTTAGAGAAAGTATTCGCGTGTTCAATGGCCGTTAACATATTCTTTTCTGCCGAATTAAGTATTTTTTACCCTCTGCTCCTTGTATCATTTGTCATAACGTTTACATAGAACACTACCGTTGTGCTTATGGAGAAATATAAATATGTTGCGCGAATGTTATTGTCATTCCTTGTCACCGTTTCTGTATAGTTGAGAAGATGTCGTCGATATTCTGGTTTATCGACCCCTCCGTTCTGCAGGACAATCTCACACTGCAGGGTTCCATGGCGTTTTCGTTTGCATTTCTGATTGCTGCTACGAGCGATCCCGACTCGAACGTGGCTCAGAGGGCATTGATGTACATCTCAACCATAAAGCAGTCGTCACTGAAGGTTGGCCTTTGTACTGGTAAGTTCCTAGAGCATTGAACTTTGATTGTTTTAGTGTTTGTGCTCATGCCTGGAGGCACAGTTCGACAACGTGGTGTCTGATAGACCTTTGATCATAGAGCGCTTTCGCGTTCTCAGCTCCCTTTTGCCAGAAGTTCCCGTGTTGTCGTGGGATTTCTTCCTGAATCGCTTCGATGTGCTGTCCGTGGAGGCGCAGATCAGTTTGGAACGGTCCGGCAAAATCGCGTTTCCCGTCGGTAAGCCGTCCGACAATCCATCGATGAATATATGCCAGCTGCATACATCAAGTTTAATTGCTTTCAGACCTGTTTAACTCTGATCCGCTGAGCGACACCTACCAGAAGAAGCTGAGTCGTGCCAGACGGAGTCGGGAGTCTGGTACTGGTGGTTCTAACTGCGGTGTCCGTTCGATATCCATTCACTTGAATCAATCACTGCGCCTTAAGCATGGTCAAAATTTGAAGGAGCACAAGCCACCGTCGACAGGTAACCCTGAATGTATTTTTGATTTTTATTCGCATTACATTTTTGACGAAACCTGTACTGTTGACACATTAGCGTTTAAGAACACAACATAACATGACACCAATAAAACTTAACATAAACAGAAACACGGTGATATCTCTGAACTTCGAAATTGGAACTACCTGACAGTGTGTTACAGCAGGCGGTACTTTTGGCCACGAGAAACGCACGTCTTCAAGTATTAGCGCCGCGATATCCGGTAAGATGAAACTGCGGAAGGTGATGACGTTGGTTCGCGTGGTCCACGTGTGGAACGGTTTGCGAAAGCGACTGAGCTCCAGCTTCAGCAGCTTGTCGTCCCTGGTTTCTTTGTCTCGAACTCCGAGCCCGACTTCAAGTAACAGCGGTAGATGTCTCAACGCCTTTTCTCTTCTCTGTCAGCACCGTGCACCTGTCAGCGCCGTGCATCTCACTCGCACCTCGCCATCGAATGAATTTCTCACCTGCCACAAATGAATGTCGTTACCAAGCGTTGTCCTCTTGGTCCACAGTACCGTAAGGTACGATCCTCTTGCCTGCCTGACGAGTCTGTCTGATTACACGTCACTGACCATCTGGTCAGCTGTTCACTTCTATCAGCGACGCGTAACACTTCATCGTTCTGCTCTTCGTCGCTGTCATCGTACTCCATCACTTTTCGACACAAACGTCCCTGTTTTTCAGGGCGTTCAGCACGTGTGCTTGTAACTTTTCCCGCACAGCCACTACACTCCCATTTCACCAATTCCCACTTTACACTGCGTCTTCTATGGTTGTTGTCCTGCTACGGGCGATGCGGCTTTTGTGTCTTCTCTTATTGCGTTTCGTTTTCTTTTTCAGGTGAACGGAATAAAGGGCACTCAATTTTATCCAGTTTTTCGTCCAAATGTAGTCCGCCTAGGCGCGGTTCGTTTGGTAAGCTTAGCATTGAACGCTGTTTGTCATTGACAGTAATGTATACAATCCTGATGAGTATGATGCTTGATTCGATTCCGTCATACTCCAGATTATCGTGGTTTTGACCATGACATTCGTGATATGCGCAGATTTATTGTTCTGGGCGTGATGACGGCACGGTTACTTTCCTCATTATGGCCGTGATGTTATAAACGTTGATGCCATATTAACGACTGTGCTAATTCTGATTTGGACGAAGAATTTCAAGCAGATGAGAAGTATGATAAGAATGACATTGCTGACTATAATGACTATAATGTTCATGGTTGTGATCATCGCCATTAGGATGATGCTAGCGCTATCCGCAAAGAATGATTATTTTGCGTGTCATTGAGATTATATCATTTATGATGATTCTACGGTGGCGATTAATAAGGTGATTATGATTAGAACGTTGGTTCTAATTTTGATGACGAGAACAATTATCACTACGATATTAATGAGGAGAGGATAGCACTGATCATGGTGATTGTGATATTATGATGGACATGAGATCTTCATGGTTCGACAAGTTTTTTGAGGGATGGTACCGTGCATAGAATTTATCATATGCATTTCCGCTCATATTCCACCCGTCTTTAGGGAGAAATATTTTAAAACACGACGTTAAAGTAGGCTGTGACCTGATTTCAGTATCCTGATTTGTAAATGGTATGTCCCTGAAGCGTGATTCGAAAGGAAGAATTTGTTTTTAATAAATTCTTTGTGTGGCGTTATCGCGTAGGCCGTTATCGATTTTTTTCTAGATTTTCTCAAAACATTACCGACCTCTCGTTTCTAATCACGGTTTACACAATGAATATTGCTCTAGTAACTGCTGTCGCAATGATCACCGCTGGTGTTTTCAGAACCGTCTGTTTCCCATGCCAAAGCGATGCGCGAGGGTGATGCAGAGAGCAACTACTCTTTGATGTTCAACAAAGCAATCGATGTCGATAATCCTCAGCGTGAGACGATGGCTCTCATGATGAATTTATTCATGCATTTTTTGGGCAACCCAAAAGTATCCCTGGTAAACGTGGATGAAAAGTCCGCCGCCAAAAAACAGGTGCTTGGATTTCATTAGCTCCCAGTTGAATGATAACTTTATTTTCCTTTTAGAGCTTGGTCCTACGACACCTGAATTTACTGCTCGGCTACAACACCCCTGAAAAGTGTTTTTCGGTTCCTCCTCATCGCCTGAGGTAAAGCGCGCGAGGTGTATTGCTTTACTGCCCAGTTGACACTGTAAAGTTTTGTGTTTTCTCCAGACGACATTAAGGCTTCATAAATACTTTTTTCTTTGAAGACGCAATGAGCAGGCAGATGATACTGTTCAATGCGATTCCCCGAATTTTTTAACATACAGACTCGTTTCTTATGCTGCGTACAGTTGAAAAAACGGATGTGAGACAGATATACCGACGTTCATAGCTCTCTGTTCAAAGAATACAGGACATAAGAAAGTCTTTCATGCTGTTTTTTGCTACGCTTGATATTTCCCTATACGTAATGTCTTTCAGTACTTTCAGTCAGAATCCCTTTTATGGACAGAGTTGCTTCGATATGCAAGATGGTCCAGCTTGCCATTAGCCGACGAATTTCGTATGTGAAATATGTGCGCTGTTATTCTTTTCAGCTATCCCCAGCTGTGAAAGCACTGTGGTGCTTTTTTGGTGCCCTGACTTTGCGTCTTGCTTCTAGTTGACCTCTATGTATTACTGCATTGCTTCGCTTCCCTGCGACTTTGGTCACTCCTGACATTTCATCTGTTTTCAGATGCTCCGCTTCATGCATGTCATTTTTGATGAATCTACCACGAGTGCTGGAGAACAACCTGTTTCTCGCCCATCAGATACTACCACTGGCGACTTCCTTGTTGATTTATTTGCCTTCGCCACAACGATCCTCGTATGATGTACCAGCTTCAAATTATACGCTCTGGTACTTGGACCCACATGTGCGTCACTGTTGGTTGTGGTCACTGTTGCTTATCTTTTACAAGGTATGTTTTTATTCCACTGATATTTCAGGCGTTGTCTCTATGACGCTAATGCTTTACTGCGTTACGCCTTCAGGGTCAGTTCAGCCATCCTCCGGTCAGCGACACGATCACATCCTTAGTAAACATTGTCATATGCACTCTCGATGCACATATTCATGTTTGTGAACATGTTCACTTGAGCCAGCGTCGTAGAAGCTTCAGTTCCGACAGTGAGTTGTTTTTTTCTTTTATGGTTCTTCGTGTAAAGTTATTCGTTTCTTTATTTCTGTACACTTTTAGCAGGTCAGATTTTTTCCATTGTTACTGAATGGTCTCGTAACGTTCAGCTTTTTGTATTTTATGTGGTATTTTAAAGAATATTTTCATGATATATTTTTGGGATACGGAAATGTTAAACAACGTTGGTGAGGCTTTACGATTCTCTTGCTAGTGTCAGTGATAAAACGAGTAGCCCGTTAATTGAAAGCTAAAATCTAAGTCTGTTTTATGTTTGATTTGCTTAACAGTGTATAAAAAATATATCAATTGTGGAATCGGAATTAAAATGTTTTTTTAAAGAAATATCGTATTTCGTGTTCGTTTTCATATTTTGTTTGAGTGTGATACTTTTCACTTACGAGTTCTAAATTCACGTTCTCCGTCCTTAAAGTTTGAAGTCAGTCGATAACTTTCTGCAAATTGCCAGACATTGATTTCGATTTTCTACCAATTTAAGTTCAGTGCAAACGTCACAATTTCTTTTGTTTTATGCAGTATCGGTAGAATCCCTGACTTTCAGCACGAACAACAAAACGTTTCTCTGATCATTCGACTTATTGCCAGCAGTACATCGACTGCCACAGAATTACTTTCTGAAAAAATACTTAATATCATTACTTTCATTTGAATTTCAGCTTATCAGTTCTTAAACAGAAAATATAATTGTTCATATTATTATTGTGTGAAATAACGACGAATAAACCAATATTTTATTGCTTGAATGGAAACATCAGTTCGTTTAGCTGAAGATCCGATGCAGCAGCTGACTCGGTGCTTAATGAGACTTATTTCATACCTGGTAAACAACAAAGAGCTTGAAATTGAAAAGACCAGATGCATGTCAGCCAAGTAAGGTTGAAAAACAACAGCTTTCCAGACATCTACAGCGTATGTGTGATCTCTAGACCTTGAATACTCCTTCGCCCTGTTGTCTCTTGTACCTGTAGTATTCAGTCTTTTATATC